TGTACCTCAAACATGAAGTACACCATCAATAATGTACTTACTTGTAAATGTACCTCAAACAGGAAGTACACAGTAAAAAATGTACTTGAATATGAACCTCAAATAGGAAGTACACCATCTATAATGTAGTAAATGTACTTGCAAATGAACCTCAAATAGGAAGTACACCATCTTTAATGTAGTAAATGTACTTGCATATGAACCTTAAATAGGAAGTACACCATTTATTATATGTACTTGTATATAAACCTCAAGTAGGAATTACACTATCTATAATGAACTTGTAAGTGTACCTCAAACAGGAAGTACACCATCAATAATATACTTGTAAATGTACCTCAAACAAGAAGTCTAACATCAATAATGTACTTGTGAATGTACCTCAAACTAGAAGTACACCATCAATAATGTACTTATAAATGTACCTCAATGAGGAAGTCTGGCATCAATAATGTACCTCAAACAGTAAGTTCACCTCAATGATGTACTGTAAACATATCTCAAACAGGAAGTCCAATGTCAGCAATGTACTTGTATACAGCGTATGGACTCCATCACTTTATGTTTCTCTAACGGAAGTACACCATCGCTTAATGTATTTCAGACAGGAAGTCCATCATCACTTACAGTATCTTAGACAGGAAGTCCACAATTACTTAATGTATCTCAGATAGGAAGTCAACAAACACTTAATGTATCTTGTTTCTCAGACAAGAAGTCCACAATCACTTACAGTATCTCAGACAGGAAGTCAACAAACACTTAATGTATCTCAGACAGGAAGTCCATCATCACTTACAGTATCTCAGACAGAAAGTCCACAATCACTAACAGTATCTTAGACAGGAAGTCCACAATCACTTAATGTATCTCAGACAGGAAGTCCACAATCACTTACAGTATCTCAGACAGGAAGTCCACAATCACTACAGTATCTTAGACAGGAAGTCCACAATCACTTAATGTATCTTAGACAGGAAGTCCACAATCACTTAATGTATCTTAGACAGGAAGTCCACAATCACTTAATGTATCTTAGAAAGAAAGTCCACAATCACTTACAGTATCTCAGCCACTTAATGTTCTTTAGAAAAGTCCATGATTTAAAATTACTTTACAGGGCCGATAGTACTGGGTTTTTTTTCTCATAGCAGGCCGTCACAAGCGGTTATGGCTCTGTGGTATACAGTATATCAAGTTATTATTGAAAAATTAAGCGGTGAGTCCAGAAGGAAACAGGAAAAATGTACCATGTAGGCTGCAGTTTAGCAGTAGAGGTAAATATCTTTCTGAAGAAGCCACTGGGATTTGGAGGGGATGGGGGAACCCAAATTACTCATGCTCTCCCTGTATGAGTGGTCCAGCATTGATGAATATTTACTTATGCAGTAGGTAATATAAATGAAGTGTTCAAATTAGATGTTTTCTATTGTGATGAAATTTGCTGTCTTAAATCTATCTTCTTCAGTTTGACATTTTAAAAATCTGAAAAAAATGCATTTCAAGTTGCTATAATGAGTTTTTTTAAATGTTAGATTTATGATTAGACAATTTTTCCTGAAATTTGAAAGTCAGGATAATGGTCTTCACTCAATGGAAAGGCTAGTAACTAGGGCAGCAGATATGTTAGCTTTTTTGAGTTGAGCAAAGAAAATAATGTTGTTTGAGGATGGGACATGGATTTCATGATGTTGAGACCTGAATCTGCAATGCCAAGCAGAGTGATGTTAAGAACGAACAAGCTTTGTTATTCTTCTCCCCATAAGATCTAAGTTGTACATGCATGTACAATTACACTAAACGTTTTTAAAGTCATGGTCGAAAATGTAACTACTTGCATAACGATGTTTTACAAATGTTATTTTCTCCAGATGACCAGAGCACTGATGAGTCAATGTCTGATCTAGATGAGCCAGAACCTGTGGATAGTGGAAATAGTCCAGTCATTCTTCCCAACCCAGTGTTGGTAAGTTCAAATAGCCTCACTAAACCCTGGTCATGTTATGCATAATCTCCAACCCTAGGTATGTTTTCATGATTCTCTGAATCTTGAGTTTGCTAGAGAATCTAACTGGTTCTAGCTAATAGTGTGTGAGATAGTCCCTCACCTTGTATGCAAGTTTGGATACTCTCTAACCTGTTGTATTAGATGTCATACTTTCCAGGAAACTTCGTATGTCAAAATGTGAGTTGAGATACTCTCTAACAGGTTGTAAGTTTTTGTACTCTCTAGATACTTTGTATGTTAGCTAGTTGTGATACTCTCTAACCGGTTGTAAGTTTTTATACTCTCTAGATACTTTGTATGTTAGTTGTGGTACTCTCTAACAGGTTGTAAGTTTTTGTACTCTCTAGTTACTTTGTATGTTAGTTGTGATACTCTCTAGCAGGTTGTAAGTTTTTGTACTCTCTAGATACTTTGTATGTTAGTTGTGATACTCTCTAACCGCGGTTGTAAGTTTTTATACTCTCTAGATACTTTTTATGTTAGTTGTGATACTCTCTAACCGGTTGTAAGTTTTTGTAGTCTCTAGATACTTTGTATGTTAGTTAGTTGTGATACTCTCTAACCTGTTGTAAGTTTTTGTACTCTCTACATACTTTGTATGTTAGTTGTGATACTCTCTAACCGGTTGTAAGTTTTTGTACTCTCTACATAATTTGTATGTTAGTTGTGATACTCTTTAACCGGTTGTAAGTTTTTGTAGTCTCTAGATTCTTTGTATGTTAGTTGTGATACTCTCTAACCGCAGTTGGAAGTTTTTGTACTCTCTAGATTCTTTGTATGTTAGTTGTGATACTCTTTAACCGGTTGTAAGTTTTTGTAGTCTCTAGATACTTAGTATGTTAGTTAGTTGTGATACTCTCTAACCGCAGTTGGAAGTTTTTGTACTCTCTAGATTCTTTGTATGTTAGTTAGTTGTGATACTCTCTACCCGGTTGTAAGTTTTTGTACTCTCTAGATACTTTGCATGTTAGTTGTGATACTCTATAACCATGTGTATGCAACTTTGAATGCTCTCCAACTCTTTCAAAACTATTAAGTTAGGATACTCTACCACTCTTACCCTTACTCTGCATGTGTAAACCAGGATACTCTAACCTGTATTCAATGTGACTGAGAGAACCATTGATTAACAGGTAGCAGACAAATATTAAGTTGGGGTATGTATCAGTCTTTGTTGAGACATTATTAGAAACATACATCTGTCCTTCCAATTCTCTTTATGTACTTAATAACCAATACATACAAGTCTATGGCAGAGGGTCAGTCACAGTATATGCCAGCGAACTTGTCTGACGATGTGTGTCTTCGCCAGCTAACTTGTCTGACGATGTTTGTCTGCGCCAGTGAACTTGTCTGACGATGTTTGTCTGCGCCAGCGAACTTGTCTGACGATGTTAGTATACGCCAGCGAACTTGTCTGACGATGTGCATCTTTGCCAGCTAACTTGTCTGACGATGTTAGTATACGCCAGCTAACTTGTCTGACGATGTTTGTCTTCGCCAGCTAACTTGTCTGACGATGTGTGTCTGTGCCAGCGAACTTGTCTGACGATGTGTGTCTGCGCCAGCGAACCTGTCTGACGATGTGTGTCTGCGCCAGCGAACTTGTCTGACGATGTTTGTCTGCGCCAGCGAACTTGTCTGACGATGTGCGTCTTCGCCAGCTAACTTGTCTGACGATGTTAGTATACGCCAGCTAACTTGTCTGACGATGTTTGTCTTCGCCAGCTAACTTGTCTGACGATGTGTGTCTGCGCCAGCGAACTTGTCTGACGATGTTTGTCTGCGCCAGCGAACTTGTCTGACGATGTGTGTCTGCGCCAGCGAACTTGTCTGACGATGTTTGTCTGCGCCAGCGAACTTGTCTGACGATGTGTGTCTGCGCCAGCGAACTTGTCTGACGATGTGTGTCTGCGCCAGCGAACTTGTCTGACAATGTGTGTCTGCACCAGCGAACTTGTCTGACGATTTGTGTCTGCGCCAGCGAACTTGTCTGACGATGTTTGTCTGCACCAGCGAACTTGTCTGACGATGTTAGTATACGCCAGCGAACTTGTCTGACGATGTGTGTCTTCGCCAGCTAACTTGTCTGACGATGTTTGTCTGCGCCAGCGAACTTGTCTGACGATGTGTGTCTGCGCCAGCGAACTTGTCTGACGATGTGTGTCTTCGCGAGCTAACTTGTCTGACGATGTTTGTCTGCGCCAGCGAACTTGTCTGACGATGTGTGTCTTTGCCAGCGAACGTGTCTGACAATGTGTGTCCTGATTATTAGGGGATGTATGTCGAGTCAGGATATTTCATTTGTATGATAACGTGTGTGGTTCTTAACATGTCAAATTTAAGGTTGAAAGTTTACTTGCTCAATCAATATGTTAGAATGATCTGTAATGCATGCTTTGCTGAAAAATTAGTTAACATACTGAATGAGAAATTTCAACATGTGTATATATGTGTCTTGATATTGTTAAAATTTCAAATTCAAAATAATTGCAATTTAATAGAGGAAGTCACTTGATTTCTTGCGATTATTTATGTAGGCATGATTGTAAATCTCCGTTATTTCAGAGGCCAATATCCATTGTGTCTGATGACGAGATACTGCATGTAGGTATCCTTAATAGACGTTATATAAATTTTGTACTAAAATCCTGGTTTTATCATTTATAGTTCGCTGTGTATTAATGCATCCTGTTAAAGCTTGTATACCCAGGTTGTACTGATTGTATATTTTATATGTAATATGACTTATTAACGTACAGCTTATAACGCTATAGTATATATTATATATTACTGTACTACTAGTGGTTAGGCTTAGCAGACATCCCGTTAACAATCCACTCAACGACAATGTTATACATATCACAATTAAAGCTATAGTATATATTATATATTACTATACTACTAGTGGTTAGGCTTAGCAGACATACCGTTAACAATCCACTCAACGACAATGTTATACATATCACAATTAACACTATAGGAATAAACAGTATCTTCCACACAATGAGTAGGTATGCTAAAACCTACTTGTATTTGTTAAGGACTTTCTTGTTTTTCAGTAATTCTTTGTCCTTAAGAAACATTTTGACTGCTGATATATCAGGTGACCTATCATGTGTTTTGGTTCTCTCTATAGCTGTTATTTTAAAGAAAAACTATGTACTCTTTGTGTAAACCCACAAGACAGGTTATGCTTAAAAGTGTATGGTGTTTATATAAATACATTATAAACTTTCTTCTTTGTTATTCATATTAATTTCATTTGTAAGACAAACAAAGGTTATTGTGATTTATATATTTTTGACAAAAAAGTGCCATACTGCACATTAAATTGAATGTCATCTTTTCTACCAATCAGATACGGGCATTTAAAAACAGCTCCACTGGGTGTTGATTCTTAAATCACAAAATAAATGGTAAAAACTGAATACATAATTGTAATACGTGCAATAAGCAAACTTAATATTTATGAAGATCCATCTATACGCAGATATTTTTGCCTGTAATGTAATTATATATCCATGAATGCCTGATATATAGTAGCCAGTGCTTGTCTTTATAATTCCTTCTCAGGTATACATTTGTTATCGTATCTGATGTAAGGGTGCCCCAGAAATTAGACAAATAGGATTTGGATGTATGTTTTGAAATTCCAGATTTTTTTCCTTTTAATATTTTGCAATCTAGCACCTTTATTACTCAGATACATACAGTAATGTATATCAACTTATGATACTAACGTTCAACTCAAAAGATTCCACAAGCATTTCATATACATATAGATCCACAAAATATATCATATGCATGCAATATTTTTTGATTGTGTGGTAGAGGTAGTTTTGAATTATTTTGAATTATTTTTGTGTATAAAACCTCATACCTGATACCTTTATGTTTTTGATATGATCTGCTTTCTCCTTACACAATTTGGATTGGTTAATGGTTTGTCCTTCAAAATACATAGACTTACATTATTATATCTCCTGACCTACTTTATAGGAACACAATAACATGGTCATGTAAAGGCAAACAGAGTGAAATATCACCGATATGGATTATCTGGATTGTCATTTACTGACACATTCATGTTTAGGAAAAGATTGTTGTAAATATCGAAAGGTAAAAAAAAATTGTCTCATGAATGGAAGAAACACATTTTTGATTACTTTCAAGAACAGACAATACCATTCCAGTGTGACATGTTTCAGCATTTACTTTACGGGAGTAATGTAAGGGTTCATCGTGGTATTTAAGGATCCCTGTACCACTGCCAAAAAATGTCACTTAATTCGCTTTGGAAACTTTTACCCAGCAGGACTATAGCTTTGATAAATCATTTCTGAAAAAAGCCATACCTTGTGGGACTTTGTTATGAACTTTTATGGTATTAATTTACCAGGTCAAAGGAAGTTTCCTGGCCCAGCAGTGCTACAGTTATATCCTTATATATATATATATGCGAAATAAGGGGAAGTAACTGTACAAAAAGCCACAGTACAGTGGGACAAGGATCCTTATTCTATAACATGCTACATATTGACTTAATCCAACTCAGTTTCATAGATATAATAAACACAACACTTTTTTCCCCTTTTTCAATAACTAATGTCTGCTGAAAGCTTGTGTTTTTGAAAATTATTCCAGCTAATTATTAGGTCACCGAGGCAAAGTGGGCTGGTTGGGACAGCTAAAAGGAACCACTATTTCCAGCAAATCTTTCTTTAGAATTCTGAAGTTCATTTCAAATGGATTCTCCTTTTGTCTTGGTGAAGTAAATTGCATCACATTGTTTTTATAAAAAAAAAACAGATTATTTTCACTTGAATAAAAAGTTGATTTTAATGAAATTATTTTGAAATGGTAGGATTCGAAGTGTCAGTCTAAAATCCAAGATGGCCACCACAACTGCCATTTTGAAAATACATGTATCAATCAAGCTCCGATTTCTTACATGTACATACCCTTAGCTATATGCTAAAACTTGTTTATTTTTACAGAAGACAGTTGTATAGTTCTGGATCTGTTATTATAAATGTTACTGTTTGTATTTCTTTGTGAATCAAATCAGACCCTTTAAAAGGCAATTGACCAGAAATATTGGTTTTGTGATGTTATGTGGTGTAGGCTATGAGAATATTTATTTTCTCTTTTGTACCGCCAATTTACAATTATAAGGAGAATATGAATTCAGAAATTAAAAAAATCACATATATTTTATCCAAAAATTGTTTGTAAAAATGGTAATTAAGTAAGTAGAAAGGAACAACATTTTTCAAAATGTGAAGATTATTTATCAAATGTTTTATATATTTTTTTTAGCAAAAAAAAGGTGAACGAGCAGGTTACCTGTACAAACAAGGCGGGTAAGTAGTAAGCTCCTGTTTCTTTCCTTCTTCCTCAAATTCAATTTTATCTTATTTAAGTTTTGAAATTAGAAACTGTCAAAGGCGGTACAGGATATTTAGAGTTGCAGCCGTTTCGTTATATTTCTGTATCATTATCAAAAGTAATGTGAAATCAAATTATTTATTTTCTTTTCCTGTTTGCTACATTTATCTATACAAGATCTTGATTGCCATTCCATTTTGTCAGGAAGATATAGAAATCCATTTAAATTTGATCTAATATTAATGGTGTTTCAAATTTAAAATTTTGATATATAGAGGATATTTAATGGTGTCTTCAGTAATAACAAATATATTTCACGAGTGTGGCTAATATCTAATTATTAGCGACACGAGTGAAATATATTTGTTATTACTGAAGGCACCATTGAATTTTCTATTTATTACATTTTTAAAGCATAAAACATGAAAAATCTAATGCATTAAAAAAGGGCAGGAATCAGAAGCGTAATTATTTGCGCCATATTCTAATGACATCACGCTTGACAACAAGGCTGCGCGCCATTTTGAGTGGCATTCTCAATGCAATTTCGACGTTTTCTGCTATTTACTGGTATGATTGCTTATAAAAAAGTCATTACTGGTAACTTAAGTCTGTGTACCAAACATTTACCATAACAACCACTTATTTTACCGTCACTTCATGTGAATCTGTGACAAAATATCGTTGCCTTTGGATGCAGCGAATAGAAGATACCGTTATCATTGGTCAATACTGAAAAGTGATATTTTTACACTGTGAAAATATCACTTTTGATATTTGTCATAGTGTGAAAGATATCAATTTTATCAAGTTGATAGAATCCGATATTTCACTGGCAAAAATGTAATAAAATTGCATAGTTGGATTAGTGATATTACCATGGTGTGAATTCTGGTAGTCTAAAGTGATAATTTAGATGGAAATCATGTTTCTTCCCTTTGCCAGTTGTAGAGAGAAAGAATTTTAAAATGACATTTACTTTCTCAAATTTTATGTGTAGGGTTCCCTTAGTCTACAGTTGTGCAGGTTTCATTTTGGGAGTGATAAAAAAAAACCAAGATGGCCACCTTTGATTTTGAGAATTAAGTTTACTATTATTATTTCTCAAAAAGTGCTCAAAAGTTATTTCTCAAAATTCATAAGAAGGTTACCCTTGGTCCATAGTTGTGCACTTTTTATTTTGGGGGTGATGGGGAAAACTTGGTTGCCAAGCGGCTTTTTTTGTTCTCGCTGTTTCTCAAGAAGTTAACAATGAACAATATGACCTCACTTTGAAAGAACACTCCCGAACCAAGTGGTATGAAAATTTTAATCAGAAGTTGCTGCAATACACATTGTACTGTTAACAAGAATATCAATCCAACAGGTAAGAGAAAATAAAAGAAATGGGAAAAAGCAAATTACCTAGAACTAATGAAGATCTTACAATGGTGGACACCAAGATCCTTTTTGGATCTCTTGTTGTTAAAGTGGACAGAATGGTTCAGAAATTAGGTTTGAACCTGTTTTGACCGAGTTTGCATTGAAGGGGTCTCATTCCAAGATCACTGTCACTTTTTTCATACCATGAATGATAAATAATTGTCAGCACCACTGTTATCATTCTATCAGCTATATTTTCCCTCTGATTGGGCTTGGGCTGAAGCTGTTTTCTAGTACAGATTTAGAATGCCTACTCATACAATTTCAAATATCAGGGTCCTGGACCCAAACTCGTCGCATACAAGATGTATGGCTGGTAGGGGGGCATTCATGTCTAACATATATTGTCTAGTTTGGTAACAGTGATGATAAAAAGCAAACTTTAATAACAGATAATTTTCAGAAAAATCTTTGTCCAGGATAAGAGCTAATATAGAGAGATATAAATGGTATCTGATCTGCACGCACATTAACAAAAAACAAAACAACTAACACAAATTCAAAATACATTTTTTTCTTGAGCTGGTAGGTAATTGGAAAAACCTTGTTGTCTATATATATAATTGATATTGTGTGGCCTGTCATGTGTGAAAGTTGAGGGTATTCCCCTTTGAGATACAAATGTCTCAATTAGGGTCCTGGTACTTTGTGGTACAGCTATCACATTTCAGGTTTTATACTTTTCAGATCAACTTGCTGTTCTTGAATTTGATAACTAAATCCTGCCACAGTAAGTGGGTCTATATAGTAAAGTTATCATAAAACATATATTAGATTTGGGCCACTGTTTGCTAAATGTTTCCCCCGTTCACTGTGTCCTGTTATTATATGTGATACTGGAAGTACAGACTTCTCCTAACAAGGGTTGTGTTCATTATTACTTACCTGCTTTGGTGATATCTCCCTGTATCTAGTAAGTCACATAAGGGTAGATAGGATATCTTACTGTATCTAGTTAGTCACACTAAAGTAGGGTAGATATGTCTCCTGTATCTAGTTAGTCTCATTTAGTTAGGGTAGATATGTCTCCTGTATCTAGCTAGTCACATGAAGGTAGGGTAGATCTGTCTCCTGTATCTAGTTAGTCACATTTAGTTAGGGTAATTATGTCTCCTGTATCTAGTTAGTCACATTAAGGTAGGGTAGATATGTCTCCTGTATCTAGTTAGTCACATTTAGTTAGGGTAGATATGTCTCCTGTATCTAGTTAGTCTCATTTAGTTAGGGTAGATATGTCTCCAGTATCTAGTTAGTCTCATTTAGTTAGGGTAGATATGTCTCCTGTATCTAGCTAGTCATATGAAGGTATGGCAGATATGTCTCCTGTATCTAGCTAGTCACATGAAGGTAGGGTAGATCTCTCTTCTGTAACAAGTTAGTCACATTAAGGTAGGGTAAATATGTCTCCCTGTATCTAGTTAGTCACATTAAGGTAGGGTAGATCTGTCTCCCTGTATCTAGTTAGTCACATTAAGGTAGGGTAGATATGTCTCCTGTATCTAGTTAGTCACATTAAGATAGGGTAGATATGTCTCCTGTATCTAGTTAGTCACATTAAGATAGGGAAGATATGTCTCCTGTATCTAGTTAGTCACATTAAGATAGGGTAGATCTGTCTCCTGTATCTAGTTAGTCACATTTAGTTAGGGTAGATCTGTCTCTTGTATCTTGTTAGTCACACTAAAGTAGGGTAGATCTGTCTCCTGTATCTAGTTAGTCACATTAAGATAGAGTAGATATGTCTCCTGTATCTAGCTAGTCACACTAAAGTAGGGTAAATCTGTCTCCTGTATCTAGTTAGTCACATTAAGTTAGGATAGATATGTCTCCTGTATATATAGTTAGTCACATTAAGATAGGGTAGATATGTCTACTGTATCTAGTTAGTCACATTAAGATAGGGTAGATATGTCTCCTGTATCTAGCTAGTCACATGAAGGTATGGTAGATCTCTCTCCTTTAGCTTGTTAGTCACATTAAGGTAGGGTAGATATGTCTACTGTATCTAGTTAGTCACACTAAGGTAGGGTATATATGTCTACTGTATCTAGTTAGTCACACTAAGGTAGGGTAGATATATCTCCTTGTAACTAGTTAGTCACATTAAGGTACGGTAGATCTATCTCCCTGTATCTAGTTAGTCACATTAAGGTACGGTAGATCTGTCTCCTGTGTCTAGTTAGTCACATGAAGGTATGGTAGATATGTCTACTGTATCTAGTTAATCACATGAAGGTACGGTAGATCTGTCTCTTGTATCTAGTTAGTCACATTAAGGTAGGGTAGATCTGTCTCTTGTATCTAGTAAGTCACATTAAGGTAGGGTAGATATGTCTACTGTATCTAGTTAGTCACACTAAGATAGGGTAGATATGTCTCCTTGTAACTAGTTAGTCACATTAAGGTACGGTAGATCTATCTCCCTGTATCTAGTTAGTCACATTAAGGTACGGTAGATCTGTCTCCTGTATCTAGTTTGTCACATTAAGGTAGGGTAGATATGTCTGCTGTATCTAGTTAATCACATGAAGGTAGGGTAGATCTGTCTCTTGTATCTAAATAGTCACATTAAGGTAGGGTAGATCTGTCTCTTGTATCTAGTAAGTCACATTAAGGTAGGGTAGGTATGTCTCCTGTATCTAGTTAATCACATGAAGGTAGGGTAGATCTGTCTCTTGTATCTAGTTAGTACCATTAAGGTGGGGTAGATCTGTCTCTTGTATCTAGTTAGTACCATTAAGGTAGGGTAGATATGTCTCCTGTATCTAGTTAATCACATTAAGGTAGGGTAGATCTGTCTCTTGTATCTTGTTAGTCACATTAAGGTAGGGTAGATATGTCTCTTGTATCTAGTTAGTACCATTAAGGTGGGGTAGATCTGTCTCTTGTATCTAGTTAGTACCATTAAGGTAGGGTAGATCTGTCTCTTGTATCTAGTTAGTACCATTAAGGTAGGGTAGATCTGTCACCATGAACTTCCTGAGTCCAAGTATCTAGTTATATAGGGTATAATCTGGGTCAAGTGATGGAGGTGACAAGATGGGACGTGTCAGATCACTTTTTCAAATATATACTACTGTATAATAATGCTTCATTAAATCATCAAAAAGTTGTTTTTTCTATTATGTAAAATAAAGTTACCTTTGTTTTCTGTATATTACCTGTGTAGTAGTCCTACCTAACACCCACCTATTGTTTTCTGTTTATTACATGTGTAGTAGTCCTACCTATGACCCAGCTATTGTTTTCTGTTTATTACATGTGTAGTAGTCCTACCTAACACCCCCCTATTGTTTTCTGTTTATTTCCTGTGTAGTAGTCCTACCTAACCCCCACCTAGTATTTTCTGTTTATTACCTGTGGAGTAGTCCTACCTATCACCCACCGATGGTTTTCTGTTTATTACCTGTGTAGTAGTCCTACCTAACCCCCACCTATTGTTTTCTGTTTATTACCTGGCTAGTTGTCCTACCTATCACCCTTGATATGCTGTGGTATATAGACTAGGAAGAGGAAGTGATACAATACAGGGCTATCTGCTAGGTCTAACCAGGGCAGCGGAAAGTGATAAAGACATGTCTTTATTGAGTTAAATGTCCTTATCTAGTTAGTTTGTGGAGGAAGGTGTCATTAGTTCTATAACAGTAACTAGAGCAATGTTGACATGTATTGACTTGATGTTTAAATCACATTCCTAATGTTTCAAGCAGCAGTTCATGAAAATGATAAATCATTCAAGCAATGTAAACCGTTTTCACTCTGTTGACTCTATCCTAGTGTTGTTTCAATTTTATACCTGACTACCCCCTCCCAGTAAAACATTAGGCAATCAAACACGCAAGAATAATGTGCTATCTGACTTTCCATTATGACATAATAGAGGTACTGTGTGAGATGATAGAGGTACTGTGTGAGATAATAGAGGTACTGTGTGAGATGATAGAGGTACTATGTGAGATGATAGAGGTACTGTGTGAGATGATAGAGCTACTGTGTGAGATGATAGAGCTACTGTGTGAGATGATAGAGGTACTGTGTGAGATGATAGAGGTACTTTGTGAGATGATAGAGGTACTGTGTGAGATGATATGTGGTCATAAAATATTGTGCTGTCATATAAATAATTTTTGGAGAAGAAATCTTCTATTACCCTTTTCTTCCACAACCAATATAAAGGTTTCCCCACTCCTAACTCATTTGACAAACCTGCAAGGAGTTCAGAAACATTTTAGGTATGCCCACTAATGGGAAACACTTGGCTGGTTATTTCATTGATCAATCTTTGAATCATGATGTCATGTAACAACACTTTACGAAGTCATCTTCAATTGTGATGTCATTCTTCACAGCAAAAGTTAACCTTATTGTAAACAGAATGATACTTGATATAACATATTAAAATTATTGAAAAAGAGGTACCCAAACTCGTTATACCTGGGTATAATGTATGCATCTCTCATTAATTAAATTTCAAATCGACAAAAAAAAAACAAAAAAACTTCAGTTAACCATGTGTCTTTATGCAGTTTGAAAATTACCCAACTTAAGTTAGATAAACATAACAACCAACAGTTGGCCGCAAATTTGGGGTCTACATGTGGCAGTCACCAGGTACTGGATACATAACAACCCACAGTTGGCCGCAGGTTTGAGGCCTACATGTGGCAGTCACCAGGTACTGGATACATAACAACCCACTGTTGGCCGCAGGATTGAGGCCTACATGGGGCAGTCACCAGGTACTGGATACATAACAACCCACTGTTGGCCGCAGGTTTGAGGCCTACATGTGGCAGTCACCAGGTACTGGATACATAACAACCAACAGTTGGCCGCAGGTTTGAGGCCTCCCTGGGGCAGTCACCAGGTACTGTATACATAACAACCCACTGTTGGCCGCAGGATTGAGGCCTACATGGGGCAGTCACCACGTACTGGATACATAACAACCCGCAGTTGGCCGCAGGTTTGAGGCTTACATGGGGCAGTCACCAGGTACTGTATACATAACAACCAGCAGTTGGCCGCAGGGTTGGGGCCTACATGGGGGCAGCCACCAGGTACTGGATACATAACAACCGACAGTTGTCCGCAGGTTTGAGGCCTACATGTGGCAGTCACGAGGTACTGGATACATAACAACCAGCAGTTGGCCGGAGGTTTGGGGCCTACATGGGGCCAGTCACCAGGGACTGGATACATAACAACCAGCAGTTGGCCGCAGGTTTGGGGCCTACATGGGGCCAGTCACCAGGGACTGGATACATAACAACCAGCAGTTGGCCGCAGGTTTGGGGCCTACATGGGGGCAGTCACCAGGTACTGGATACATAACAACCCACAGTTGGCCGCAGGTTTGAGGCCTCCCTGGGGCAGTCACCAGGTACTGGATACATAACACCCAGCAGTTGGCCGCAGGTTTGGGGCCTACACGGGGCAGTCACCAGGTACGGGAGACATAACAACCAACAGTTGGCCGCAGGTTTGGGGCCTACATGGGGGCAGCCACCAGGTACTGGATACATAACAACCCACTGTTGGCCGCAGGTTTGAGGCCTACATGGGGCAGTCACCAGGTACTGGAGACATAACAACCCACTGTTGGCCGCAGGTTTGGGGCCTACATGTGGCAGTCACCAGGTACTGGATACAGGTCGTAGGTAACTCAACTTTCCTCCACCACCAATACCTGGCACATCCGTAAATGGCTGTTGTTGTTAATAGGACGTAAAACGCAAACAAACCAAACCAAATCTACTTTATTTGCCTTTTAAATGTTTGTTTTTTTCATATTTGCAGACAAAAAGGCAACAAAGGTTGGAGAAAAAGATGGGTGATCTTCAATGGAAAATCTGTACGCTACTATGCCAATGCAAAGGTGTGAAAAGCCCCCAAATACCCATGTCTTTATTTTGCTTGAATAGTGAAATGTTTATTAAGGGGAAGAGTCTATTTTTGGAGTTTCAGAAGCTGGAGTTTGTGAATCGGTTATCCCTGCTGTTAGTGTGTTTTCATAGGTTGTGATATATCAAATCAATTTGTAATTATTTGGGATTGGTTACTTATAATTTGTCGTTATTATCATCAAATTGCAAGGAACTTGAGTCATCCTAGTTTAACTGTCGAATACAGGCTCCTTCCTTTAGCCAAAAAAGTGCTTTCTTTTCCAAATATTTCCCCCCATTCATGTAGGAAGGCCAGGCTGTTGTAAGACTTGGGAGGATTTTTATTTTTTCCATTTCAGGTTTTTGTGTAAGGTATATATGCTCTCTAACTCACTTATAAGTGAATTAGAAGAAGACTGATATAGGCAAAGCCTGTTGTCTTATTCTTTTGTCAATACTGTTCAAATATCTTCTTTAATGTTAACTTATATGTTTGTATTATATATGTATTGTCATTAAAATACTTTGAAATTAACTCACTTGTATATACATGGGATCCATTAAATCTAGTCAATATTCAAATGAAGGTCCTCGTTTCTGAATCGTCTTTATTTTTGTATCCCCTGTCAGGTGTAGTGCTAGAAATCTTTGTAATTACCCGTCACTATAAAGGCTGCTGTGGTCTGAGAGCAGTAACATTGATCAGTTTCAAACCCTGACAGATATGATCAAAATAAGAATCTTTAGAAATAAGAGTCAAATGTATGATATAAAAATACTGAAGGTTGAATCCTAGACCTTAATTATCAAAACTCAATAGTTGTTGATATACTCTATAACGTGGAACATTCTTCCCGACTTTCTGCTGGTGCATGGATTTGAATTTGAATTTTATGTGGCTGATATGAACTTTTGCAGTCTTCCTTATTTTAAACTTAAGTCCATTGAATTGTTCATATATTTGCATGATGTCTGTGTAAGTATAAGTAAAGTGCATAACCTTTAAGTGTTCCAGCAAGTTTTGATAACTTTCGTCTAAACTCTAACAAAGAGGGCAAATTGATGTTACATGAATCTTTGGCTAATTCAATATGTTGATGATTATATTTTATACAGAGCCAGGTTTCCAAGAGAATCGTGCCTGTAACATGCATGACGGGGGTTACAAACCAGATTAAGGTAAATTTTAAAGCTACAAGGGAATCGGGTCTGTAACATGTATGGTTGGAGTTACAACACAGATTAAGGTAAAACTACAAGGGAATCGGGTCTGTAACATGTATGACGGGGGTTACAACACAGAATAAGGTAAAACTACAAGGGAATCGGGTCTGTAACATCTATGGCTGGGGTTACAACACAGATTAAGGTAAAGCCACAAGGGAATGGGGTCTGTAACATGTATGATGGGGGTTACGACACAGATTAAGGTAAAACTACAAGAGAATCGGGTCTGTAACATGTATGACGGGGGTTACACCACAGATTAAGGTAAAACTACAAGGGAATCGGGTCTGTAACATCTATGGCTGGGGTTACAACACAGATTAAGGTAAAGCCACAAGGGAATCGGGTCTGTAACATGTATGATGGGGGTTACAACACAGATTAAGGTAAAACTACAAGAGAAGCGGGTCTGTAACATGTATGACGGGGGTTACAACACAGAATAAGGTAAAACTACAAGGGAATCGGGTCTGTAACATGTATGCCGGGGGTTACAACCCAGATTAAGGTAAAACTACAAGGGAATTGGGGCTGTAACATGTATGGCTGGGGTTACAACACAGATTAAGGTAAAGCCACAAGGGAATGGGGTCTGTAACATGTATGATGGGGGTTACGACACAGATTAAGGTAAAACTACAAGAGAATCGGGTCTGTAACATGTATGACGGGGGTTACAACACAGAATAAGGTAAAACTACAAGGGAATCGGGTCTGTAACATCTATGGCTGGGGTTACAACACAGATTAAGGTAAAACAACAAGAGAATCGGGTCTGTAACATGTATGACAGGGGGTTACAACACAGATTAAGGTAAAACTACAAGAGATTCGGGTCTGTAACATGTATGTTGGGGGCTACAACACAGATTAAGGTAAAACTACAAGAGAAGCGGGTCTGTAACATGTATGACGGGGGTTACAACACAGAATAAGGTAAAACTACAAGGGAATCGGGTCTGTAACATCTATGGCTGGGGTTACAACACAGATTAAGGTAAAGCCACAAGGGAATGGGGTCTGTAACATGTATGATGGGGGTTACGACACAGATTAAGGTAAAACTACAAGAGAATCGGGTCTGTAACTTGTATGGCTGGGAATACAACACAGATTAAGGTAAAACTACAACGGAATTGTGTCTGTAACATGTATGGCTGGGGTTACAACACAGATTAAGGTAAAGCCACAAGGGAATCGGGTCTGTAACATGTATGATGGGGGTTACAACACAGATTAAGGTAAAACTACAAGAGAAGCGGGTCTGTAACATGTATGACGGGGGTTACAACACAGAATAAGGTAAAACTACAAGGGAATCGGGTCTGTAACATGTATGCCGGGGGTTACAACCCAGATTAAGGTAAAACTACAAGGGAATCGGGTCTGTAACATGTATGCCGGGGGTTACAACCCAGATTAAGGTAAAACTACAAGGGAATCGGGTCTGTAACATCTATGGCTGGGGTTACAACACAGATTAAGGTAAAGCCACAAGGGAATGGGGTCTGTAACATGTATGATGGGGGTTACGACACAGATTAAGGTAAAACTACAAGAGAATCGGCTCTGTAACTTGTATGGCTGGGAATACAACACAGATTAAGGTAAAACTACAACGGAATTGTGTCTGTAACATGTATGGCTGGGGTTACAACACAGATTAAGGAAAAGCCACAAGGGAATCGGGTCTGTAACATGTATGATGGGGGTTACAACACAGATTAAGGTAAAACAACAAGAGAATCAGGTCTGTAACATGTATGGCTGGGGTTACAACACAGATTAAGGTAAACCCACAAGGGAATCGGGTCTGTAACATGTATGTTGGGGGTTACAACACAGATTAAGGTAAACACTTCAAAAAGATCTTGACAAACTAGAGCTCTGGGAAAATACATGGAAAATGATCTTCCACCAAAACAAATGCAATGTGTTGTTGGTGACTAAAAACAAAACTCCAATAGTCCATAATTATACTTTACATGGACACATACTGGAACATCTTAGGCCAAGTATCTGGGTGTAACACTATCATCTGACCTTAAATGGGATTCACATATAAATACTATCTGCCCAAAAGCAAATTCTATGCTAGGCTTTTTAAGACGAAATCTTAAAATTGGCTCAACATCAGCCAAAGTACAGGCATACAAATCATTAGTTTGACCATCACTTGAGTATGCCTGTACAGTATGGGACCCTCACACACAAACAAATATTGAGGGGCAGCGTGCTATGTGCTCATGATCAATAAGCACAGGTACAACCATCGTACCTCCAGTGTGTCAGAAATGTTGGACCACCTAAAGCTGCGCCCTCTAGCAGATAGACGTAGAGATGCTCGTCTGACCATGCTTCATAACATTGTAAACCAGAAAGTCGCTATCGTAAAATCAGACAGATTAATCCCTACTGTTAGAAAATCCCGAACAAACCACCAGTTTTCGTATCAAATTCCCCACTCAAAACCCCAGACCAGAAAGACATCATTCTTCCCTCGAACTATACCCGAGTGGAATAAACTCCCACCTGACATTATTTCGAGCCCCACAACGGAATTATTCAAATCAGCCCTCTACCGTCGCCTTTCAAACGCAAATAAGACCATCTCGTATCTTTTAAAAACAATCTCTTTCCATGTTTCACTCCTCGTCTGACATTTTATCTTCAAATTGTTGAAGTTGGTCATTACCATTTAGAAGTAGAAGTAGAAACCCACAAGAGAATCGGGGCTGTAACTTGTATGGCTGGGGTTACAAAACAGATTAAGGTAAAACTACAAGAGAATCGGGTCTGTAACTTGTATGGCTGGGATTACAACACAGATTAAGGAAAAACTACAAGGGAATCGGGTCTGTAACATGTATGTTGGGGGTTACAGCACAGCTTAAAGTAAAACTACCAGAGAATTGTCTGTAACATGCATATGTATGTTGGGGGTTACAACAAAGCTTAAGGTAAAACTACCAGAGAATTGTCTGTAACATGTATGACGGGGGTTACACACAGCTTAAGGTAAAACTACAAGGAAATTGTGTCTGTAACATGTATGTTTGGGGTTACAACACAGATTAAGGTAAAACTACAAGAGAATCAGGTCTGTAACATGTATGATGGGAGTTACAACACAGAATGAGGTAAAAACTACCAGAGAATCAGGTCTGTAAAACTGTAACAATTATGACTGGGGTTAAGACCCAGATTTAAGTACAAATATAAGAGAACTGTTTGTGTGATTTGTATGAAGGAGGCTATTGATTTTGGTGAGACTTCTTCACAAAATGGTGGGATCAAAATACACTTTCAAATGTAAAGTAGAAAAAATGTTATGTACATAGTTGCTTAAACCACTTTAATAGTATCATATAACAATCCTTCATTGTATGGGCATTATGTTAAATTTTTACCTTTGAATAGCTCCAAAAAATTACCTAATGTATCAATAAGCTTTTATATTTTAAAAAGTAGAATAAATGTCACTCTAATTCCTAATATTTCGGCCTCCTGGCATCATAGATTCAACGAGTGATGACATGTATTTGCATGTCATTTCCTCTACCTCCGAATAAGCAAGATAGATGATACTTGAATCAGTTGTTGACTTTCACCCTTGAAGAACGCCAGGAGGCCGAAATATTGGGACTTAGATTGACATTTGTTCTATTTTATTTTCCCCTGTGGGAAATTTTTTATATTTCATTTTTGAAAGTTAAATGAATAAATTTGATTTTAAAGACTTTATCTATTTTCAGGCTAATGACACACACAAATTCAAATTCAATGTCGAGACGAAGAACAGAACATTCCAATTTGCAGCTGAAACATTAGGTATGAAATCATACTGCATTTATAACACTTTATAAATAAAACGGAATCTGGCTTAGTGGCGACAATCATTTACATTGTAAGATTACTTTGATTGATTAAACATGCACAGTAATATGGCATATGTTTCAACTATACAAAAGCCTTATTTTATGAGTTATTGTTATAGAATTTACATCCTAAAAACTCAATTAAATTTGTTTAGGTCACCTGAGCTTAATTAGCTCAAGTGACCTATTGATATCCGTCTTCATCCATCATCATGTGTCATGCGTCGTCTGTAGTCTGTTAACATTTTACATTTTCAACTAAAGCTGAAATACTGTCGAAGGGATTTCATGGATATTTTATGGAAATGTTACTGACATCTCCCTAACCAAGTGTTGTTATATTTTGGGTCGATCAGAAATCCAATATGGCCACCATTTTGAAAAGCTATTTCAAGCTTAAAGTCAAGATCTACTGGTCTGATTTAACTGAAACTTGGTCTAGGAATGATCAACTAATGGTCCTGACAAAGTGTTGTTATTTTTCGGGTTGATCAGAATTCCAATATGGCCGCTACTGCCACTTTTTTGAGGAGAAAAAAAACTATTTTAAACTTAAAATTCAGTTCTAATAGGCCGATTTAACTGAACTCAGTCTATAGCTAGGTCCTGACAAACTTAACTTCACATAATACTTAACTATTTTTTACTCAATTTGGTAGGGATGGTTGACATCATTATCTCCACTTCATATTTCAACAACAAAAATAAATACATTAGGTCTCAGGTGATCGTTAAGGCCAATGGGCCTCTTGTTTATTAAGAAATTGACTCACTGGTGTGTTTATCTAGATGACTGTACTCACTGGTGTGTTTAACTAGATGACTGTACTCACTGGTGTGTTTTGTTTATCTAAATGATTGTACTTACTGGTGTGTTTTGTTTATCTAGATGACTGTACTCACTGGTGTGTTTATCTAGATGACTATACTCACTGGTGTGTTTTGTTTATCTAGATGATTGTACTCACTGGTGTGTTTTGTTTATCTAGATGACTGTACTAACTGGTGTGTTTATCTAGATGATTGTACTCACTGGTGTGTTTTGTTTATCTAGATGACTGTACTCACTGGTGTGTTTTGTTTATCTAGATGACTGTACTCACTGGTGTGTTTTGTTTATCTAGATGACTGTACTCACTGGTGTGTTTTGTTTATCTAGATGACTGTACTCACTGGTGTGTTTTGTTTATCTAGATGACTGTACTCACTGGTGTGTTTTGTTTATCTAGATGACTGTACTCACTGGTGTGTTTTGTTTATCTAGATGACTGTACTCACTGGTGTGTTTTGTTTATCTAGATGACTGTACTCACTGGTGTGTTTTGTTTATCTAGATGACTGTACTCACTGGTGTGTTTTGTTTATCTAGATGACTGTACTCACTGGTGTGTTTTGTTTATCTAGATGACTGTACTCACTGGTGTGTTTTGTTTATCTAGATGACTGTACTCACTGGTGTGTTTTGTTTATCTAGATGACTGTACTCACTGGTGTGTTTTGTTTATCTAGATGACTGTACTCACTGGTGTGTTTTGTTTATCTAGATGACTGTACTCACTGGTGTGTTTTGTTTATCTAGATGACTGTACTCACTGGTGTGTTTTGTTTATCTAGATGACTGTACTCACTGGTGTGTTTTGTTTATCTAGATGACTGTACTCACTGGTGTGTTTTGTTTATCTAGATGACTGTACTCACTGGTGTGTTTTGTTTATCTAGATGACTGTACTCACTGGTGTGTTTTGTTTATCTAGATGACTGTACTCACTGGTGTGTTTTGTTTATCTAGATGACTGTACTCACTGGTGTGTTTTGTTTATCTAGATGACTGTACTCACTGGTGTGTTTTGTTTATCTAGATGACTGTACTCACTGGTGTGTTTTGTTTATCTAGATGACTGTACTCACTGGTGTGTTTTGTTTATCTAGATGACTGTACTCACTGGTGTGTTTTGTTTATCTAGATGACTGTACTCACTGGTGTGTTTTGTTTATCTAGATGACTGTACTCACTGGTGTGTTTTGTTTATCTAGATGACTGTACTCACTGGTGTGTTTTGTTTATCTAGATGACTATACTCACTGGTGTGTTTTGTTTATCTAGATGACTGTACTCACTGGTGTGTTTTGTTTATCTAGATGACTGTACTCACTGGTGTAGCTGTTTGATGGCTGCTATTTTAACAAAGGTAAGTTTTATATTAGCTCCTGTCCCCTGATAATGGCGGCTATATAAGTTTCAATTTTTTTTCAATTTCAATTTCAAAGTATTTTATTGACAATACATATATAATACAAACATATAAGTTAACATTAAAGGAGATATTTGAACAGTATTGACAAAAGAATAAGACAACAGGCTTTGCCTATATCAGTCTTCTTCTAATTCCGGTAGATATGTACAATGCTTAAATATATAAAATGTTGTGATTCGTTTCCTCTCACACTCATGCACACCCACACCCACACCAGCTTATGTCTAATACTCGTTATTTAAGGGATAAAACTTGCCTGAATAACAATAATTATAACAATACATGAATATTCATTTGGAAATTTATCTAGCACGTATAAGTAACGAAACGTTTTGATGATTTAATATAAGAGTCAACATGTATAAGAATAGTTTTATTTAATTGGTTGGATGCATTACTAATACCATATACTAAACAGTGCAGATTTAAATATCCTACTAGATTATAAATAGTGGTAATATGATGCCTAATATTAGAATACAGAGGACATTGAAAGAAAAAATGTATTAGATCTTCCCTCTGTACACCACATACACAGGAAGCATCATCAATCAGATGGTCTTGTAACTTATCACAGTTAAGATCACTTTTAAAATTTCTTAGCTGACATAAAATTATGTTAAGTTTCCTCGGAACACAGTTAATAAAAGTTTCTGAGACGGATGTATCAAAGGTTTTTTTAAGTTTCTTTTTAAAAGATGAAATTGAGATGGAGTCTCGTACAGTGCTATCAAGTGCATTCCATTTTACCATTGTAGAAGGGAAGAAGCTATTCATNGATGTACCTCGTCTGAGGCCAGTAATTAAACGCATAGCTTCTAGTTGAACTGATTCTAAAAGATCTGATTCCGATTTGGTACAATTATCCCATACTATATCAGAATATTCTAGCACAGGTCTTATATAAGAGACATATAATGTTTTTAATGTATTCCTATCAACTGTAGTTTTTAAAATTCTAAGAATACTTAGTCTAGAGTTCGCTTTCTTATAAATATTTGAAATGTGATCTGACCATGTCCCTTTACTGTTAAATGTTAGTTGCGGCTATATAAGGAGGTTATGCTAATCTTATAACTCTTGTCATCTATATCCCGGCTAATGGCTACTAATCCGAGCCAACGTGATTCTACACTTATATAATTGAAGTTTTAAGGTGTCCATTATAAGGTGTAATGTTTTCATTTGAAACAGAAAACAAGCTTAAGTGCAGAACTGATTTGGATTATAAATGTTTTTGTGTATACCAGCTAGGGAAGCTGTATAAGAAAATTCACCCAGATGACTTTGCCTGGCAATACAACATCATACTGCAATCCTTACATTACACCAGTAAAAATAATAGAGAAGTGAAAGAGAAACCATCTCATTATGGTTGCAGACATGGTGTAAAAATTTACAGATTATGAAATCTATATTTACAGCCCCCATCTGAGGCCGTACTTGAGGGCGGGGAAATGAACTATCCTGATAGACAGGTAAGGACATTTAGTTGTGATTGATAGACAGTCGAACCTTGGAATGTCATGTTGTTTTGGCAATGAAAAATATTGATTTAACGATGATAATTATGAGATAAGTAAGGTAATTGATACATCTAAATGTAAAAAGACTGTGGTCTAAGAATGGACACAGAAGGTATTGTGTTAACAAATGAAAATACAAATTTTATTTCATTTTGAATATTTTTTTACCTGCTCTAAATGTATGAGATACTAGGAAATTTTATTTATTAATTGATATTTACATTCAAGTTATATCTGTTGAGATGCAGAAAACAAAACAAGTATCTGAAGTAAAGGTACTAACAATAACCTTATGATGAAAATAATGTTATGGTGACTTTGTGCCTTTAGGGGTCTATTCGGTTTGAGAGGTACCGGCGGAACCTGCATGTGGTGTTGAAAGGGGGTCGGATGTGTTACTACAACACACTGGAGGTAGGTTATCCCTCACACTGTCCAGATGTATACACGGTACAACAGACTGGAGGTAGGTTATCCCTCACACTGTCCAGATGTATACACGGTACAACAGACTGGAGGTAGGTTATCCCTCACACTGTCCAGATGTATACACGGTACAACAGACTGGAGGTAGGTTATCCCTCACACTGTCCAGATGTATACACGGTACAACAGACTGGAGGTAGGTTATCCCTCACACTGTCCAGATGTATACACGGTACAACAGACTGGAGGTAGGTTATCCCTCACACTGTCCAGATGTATACACGGTACAACAGACTGGAGGTAGGTTATCCCTCACACTGTCCAGATGTATACACGGTACAACAGACTGGAGGTAGGTTATCCCTCACACTGTCCAGATGTATACACGGTACAACAGACTGGAGGTAGGTTATCCCTCACACTGTCCAGATGTATACACGGTACAACAGACTGGAGGTAGGTTATCCCTCACACTGTCCAGATGTATACACGGTACAACAGACTGGAGGTAGGTTATCCCTCACACTGTCCAGATGTATACACGGTACAACAGACTGGAGGTAGGTTATCCCTCACACTGTCCAGATGTATACACGGTACAACAGACTGGAGGTAGGTTATCCCTCACACTGTCCAGATGTATACACGGTACAACAGACTGGAGGTAGGTTATCCCTCACACTGTCCAGATGTATACACGGTACAACAGACTGGAGGTAGGTTATCCCTCACACTGTCCAGATGTATACACGGTACAACAGACTGGAGGTAGGTTATCCCTCACACTGTCCAGATGTATACACGGTACAACAGACTGGAGGTAGGTTATCCCTCACACTGTCCAGATGTATACACGGTACAACAGACTGGAGGTAGGTTATCCCTCACACTGTCCAGATGTATACACGGTACAACAGACTGGAGGTAGGTTATCCCTCACACTGTCCAGATGTATACACGGTACAACAGACTGGAGGTAGGTTATCCCTCACACTGTCCAGATGTATACACGGTACAACAGACTGGAGGTAGGTTATCCCTCACACTGTCCAGATGTATACACGGTACAACAGACTGGAGGTAGGTTATCCCTCACACTGTCCAGATGTATACACGGTACAACAGACTGGAGGTAGGTTATCCCTCACACTGTCCAGATGTATACACGGTACAACAGACTGGAGGTAGGTTATCCCTCACACTGTCCAGATGTATACACGGTACAACAGACTGGAGGTAGGTTATCCCTCACACTGTCCAGATGTATACACGGTACAACAGACTGGAGGTAGGTTATCCCTCACACTGTCCAGATGTATACACGGTACAACAGACTGGAGGTAGGTTATCCCTCACACTGTCCAGATGTATACACGGTACAACAGACTGGAGGTAGGTTATCCCTCACACTGTCCAGATGTATACACGGTACAACAGACTGGAGGTAGGTTATCCCTCACACTGTCCAGATGTATACACGGTACAACAGACTGGAGGTAGGTTATCCCTCACACTGTCCAGATGTATACACGGTACAACAGACTGGAGGTAGGTTATCCCTCACACTGTCCAGATGTATACACGGTACAACAGACTGGAGGTAGGTTATCCCTCACACTGTCCAGATGTATACACGGTACAACAGACTGGAGGTAGGTTATCCCTCACACTGTCCAGATGTATACACGGTACAACAGACTGGAGGTAGGTTATCCCTCACACTGTCCAGATGTATACACGGTACAACAGACTGGAGGTAGGTTATCCCTCACACTGTCCAGATGTATACACGGTACAACAGACTGGAGGTAGGTTATCCCTCACACTGTCCAGATGTATACACGGTACAACAGACTGGAGGTAGGTTATCCCTCACACTGTCCAGATGTATACACGGTACAGCAAAAAGGTGGTAGGCTGCTGTATTTGTTACACAGTCAAAATATTTCTACAAAAAAAAAGATGCTGTGGCAATATAAGGTTCGATCATCATATCAATAATATGAAACAGAAAAGTAGCTCTGTGAATTAAAATCTTGATATCTCTTAACAAAGTGAAGATGATATTTTACAGTCTATAAAGAAATCTTGATGATTGTGTTTATATTGGGTGATGTTTCCAGGACTATAAGATAGCATCCCCGATCCATGAGATAGAGATGAAGCTAGCAAGTGTGAAGGAACTACCAAGGAACAAGTTACGACTGGCCACTCATTACACTCAGTTTGTGTAAGTCAAAGGGACACAACTCTGTCAGCACTACTGCAGACATTGTGTGATAATGTCGTTAGATTTTAGCTAGTAAAACAGTCAGGACAAAGCTAGTGTAGCTACATATTATCTTTACAATTTTGAAATGCAACACTCAATCTGCACTGTGAGAAAGAGCACATGTTCTGATGAGTAGATTATTTGAATTCACAAGCTTCTGTGTGGTAGTTTATTGAAGTGGTTTTATCTGTATAAGGATCTTACTTTTGTTCAACATGTTATAATTTCTTTTGCTGTCATCACAATATTGATTATCTTTAATGTTTCTGTTGCCATATCAACAGGGTGATATTTGACCTATTTTATTTCTGTTGTCATAACAACAGGGTGACCTTTGACCTGCCTATCTTATTTCTATTGCCATTATGACAGGATGACTATTTGAAATGCCTAATACTCCTGTAATCATGTTGATAATTACCTTACCAATAAAATATCAATATTTTTTGTACTTCCATAACAGGGTGCGTTTAACATATTAGAATTATTTTTGTTATCATGATAACAGTGTTACATTTGTTTTACATTCCTTTATTAGGCTGGCGTTCGAGACTTATGAGGATTGTGTGACGTGGAGAATGGCGATGGAGGAGTCAATAGCTGACGCTCTAGGGGATAACACTGTAAGTGGCACTATGTAGTGATCATTTTCTTTATCTCTACAATTATTGTGGGTCACTGCTAGAGATCTGTAAAACTTTTGATATCCCTTTTGACAGCTTTCATTGGCTTTGAAGTCTCAAACATTTGCCTGATTCGCTGTGAGGTCTAAAGCTTCAGGGATTATACTCTTTTTGATTGAATATGTTGAGAAGTTAAAGTCAGGTAATACTATGTACATGTTTATCTTTCCTTTCATTTCTTTCCGATGTTTTGATTTTAACAGATATTGGAACAGATCAAAAAGAATCCCAGTAACCACGAGTGTGCTGACTGTAGTGCTCCAGGTAGGTTGTTCATGTTCCTACCTGTGTGTCTCACCTCTGTGTCTTACCTGTGTGTCTCACCTCTGTGTCTTACCTGTGTGTCTCACCTGTGTATCTCACCTCTGGGCCAAATATATTCTTACCTGTGTGTCTCACCTCTTTGCCAAATATGTTCTTACCTGTGTGTCTCACCTCTGTGCCAAATATGTTCTTACCTGTGTGTCTCACCTCTGTGCCAAATATGTTCTTACCTGTGTCTCTTCTGTGTGTCTCACCTCTGTGCCAAATATGTTCTTACCTGTGTGTCTCACCTCTGTGCCAAATATGTTCTTACCTGTGTGTCTCACCTCTGTGCCAAATATGTATGTTTCACAGGTGTCTTCTTGCATGTCTCACCAGTGACTGTTTAATACCATGTGTCTCACCTGTATGTCTCACATATCATATCTGTTTCATTTGAAGTGAATTGATCAGGTACCTACAGCCAGTAACTGAATGAGTACTATAAAACAAAATATGATCGGACCTACTGTGGATCACTAAGACAGGAATTTTAAAGTTCCTACAGTGCCATGATATTAAGATGTTATAAAACCATGTTATTAAGATAATAACACTGTTATTAAGATGTTATAACACTGTTATTGAGATGTTATAACACTGTTTTTGAGATGTTATAATATCATATTATTGAGTTGCTATCATACCATGTTATTTGGATGTTAAACCATGTTATTGGGGTCTTAAAATACTGTGTTATTGGGATGTTGTCATACACTGTTATTGATATGGTATGATACCATATTATTGAGATGTTATAATAACATGTTATTGAGATGTTATGATTCTGTGTTATTAAGATGTTATGATATCATGTTATTGATATGTAAAAGTACCATGTTATTGATATCTTATAATACCATGTTATTGAGATGTTATAATACCATGTTATTGAGATGTTATAATACCATGTTATTAAGATGTTATAATACCATGTTATTGGGATGTTATAATACCATGTTATCAAGATGTTATATTAATACCATGATATTGAGATGTTTTAATACCACATTATTGAGATGTTATAATATCATGTTATTGAGATGTTATGATATCATGTTGTTGAGATGTTATAATACCATGTTATTGAGATGTTATTGTTGTGTTTCAGATCCTCACTGGGCCTCCATTAACATGGGCATTGTGTTGTGTAAACAGTGTGCAGGTAAAAATGATCACACATTAGAACCTCTATAAAGGGACTGCTTTAACCTAGAAAACCTTGTGTACAGTAGAACCTATGCATTCAGGACTGATGTTCTATTACAGTTTCTATCTCTTCCTCATCAGTATGAGCTCAGGATCATCACCAATTCAGTGGAATATCTCAAATTATGGAAATGCGTTTCTCACAGTAAATCAGTCTCTAGAACCAGTAAATCAGCCTATAGAACCAGTAAATCAGTCTATAGAACCAGTAAATCAGCCTATAGAACCAGTATATCGGCCTATAGAACCAGTAAATCAGCCTATAGAACCAGTAAATCAGCCTATAGAACCAGTAAATCAGCTTATAGAACCAGTACATCGGCCTATAGAACCAGTAAATCAGCCTATAGAACCAGTAAATCAGCCTATAGAACCAGTAAATCGGCCTATAGAACCAGTAAATCAGTCTATAGAACCAGTAAATTGGCCTATATCTCTAAACATTTCTTCAGGTTGGTAAGAATGGATTGTGAAAGTTTCTTGTTACACAACCAATACGTGTTTCTATGCGATGTTTGGATGACTAGTACGGTATGTACACTGTCACCTTCATCAGACAAATGACCAGTGAAGTGCACACAAAGGTGTAAAATGTGTACGAGTTTGTGTGCACACATTTCACTGGTTATTTGTCTGATGAAGGTGACAGAGTACATACCGTACTAGTCATTGAAACGTGACATATGAACACGTATTGGTTCTTGTTACACAACAAGAAACATTTCATAATAAATCAGCCTATACTTTCATGTTTATATGACATTACATAATCTGAAAGAGATGTTCTTTGTTACTGGATGGCCGCTGATTTATTTTATATTGACAGGTATTCATCGTAAGTTTGACCTGAATGTCTCGAAAGTGCGGTCACTACGAATGGACACTTCTGTATGGTCACCGAGTCTTATTGAAGTGAGTATAGTGATGTGTCTTAGTTAATGTTTACTGAAGTAGCATAACTGTGTTTGGTATAGAGGTTAATTATACACATTCACCTACATTATCCATGGAAATATTTCAAGTCATTTAAAGCCATTGTATAAGTATTTGATACAGTATCAGAGATTTTTGTTAGTTAGGAATGCTGTTCTCAAAAGATGCTTTGCCACCTTGACAATCTATAAAATCAACACAACTGCGGACATGTAAAACACATCAGATCTAACAGTCATGCATAAAACGCAACAAAAATATATCCTTTTTACGGAACAGATCAATGATTTGTAAAGAAAATAAAATATTTCCTTTTCAGATGATGAAACAAATTGGCAACCACAATGCAAACCTGTTCTGGGAAAAACATCTACGGGCTAAGAGTGGATTTAACCAAGACATGGAATCAGCACAGCGAAAACAGCATCTAGAGAACAAATACGAGAACCGGAAATATATAGACAAACATCCGCTCAGCGATAACAAACCTGCTCTTAATGAGGTCAGTAAGGGTCAAGGTCAAATATATGTGACAAATTAAGGTCAGTAACTAAGTTGAAGCCACAGTTTTTAAGGAAATGTTTACTGGCAATAGAGCTGACATTATTTTGGGTATAACTTTACTAAACTGAAGGAACATTTAATAAATCTTGACTTGATAATTCTAGAAAAATTTGACAACACTTATGTTTTGAGGCATCTTTGAGCTAATATAAACCATAAGTAACAGTTGAATTATGGTAATACACTCTATTTGAGACCATTAGTGCAGTGCCAATAAATATAAATGATATTAAAATATTTAAGATTTGTGATTGACCTAAGGGAGGTAACTCATTCTTCCTAGATCTAAGGTCTGCGTTGTTTGTTTGTGACAGGAGCTACTGAAGGCCGCCTCCACCGCTGATATTCTCCTCACGATGATGCTTGTATTCTCTGGTGCAGATGTAAGTTGAAAATAAGAGATAAATCTTTTAATATTTTGATTTTGATTTGAAGTTGTCTTGATAGAAAGGTAGTAGTAAATTGTATAACAATAATTAATACTGCATGTTAGCAAGGTTTCAAAGTGACTGACTGTTGTTTATCATGTTTATCTGACTCAAGGTAGTTCATTTCCAACTTTTAACTCATTCACCCCTGAAGACACATTTGAACTCTTTCAATTCAAAGGTGGGAATAGTTCATTATGAAGTTTCAGGGGTAAATGAGTTAAAATGAAAACATGGATGATGCTTTAATGTGTTTTTCCATGGATGAATTTATAATCAACTATTGACAGTAATACAAACATGAGAAACAATATTCATGAGTTGTGAAACTTGTTTCTGCCACAGTTTTTTCATGATATTGTCATTGTTTTACAAACGATGAGTCAGGCTGCATAGGAATTTGAGCAGATGCATCCACTTACTGGTAGGTTAAAATCTCAGTTATGTTTTCATCTCTAAATGGGAATTTAACTTGTAAAATCTAAGCCTCCATTAGGCTTGAATATCCGTTATAGAAGAGCATGTAATCAAAGGGGCGTAACTCTTCAAACTGACACATTCCATAAATCAAGATTTCAACCGATTGAGGTAATGTTAAGTGTAAATCCACCGACTGATAAACGCTTCTACACCAATACCTCAAAGGGGCGCAACTCTTCAAACTGAAACATTCCATAAATCAATATTTTAACTTATTAAAGTGACGTAAAGTTTAAATTCACCGGCTGATTCACACTTCTAAACCAATACCTCTGCTGTTTAGCTGGATAGCCAGAGACTTGATTGGTTAACATGGGAAATTGTGGTAGAAATGACTAAAAAGACTTTTATTTGATATTAAGTGATCCATTAATGTTAGAGTGATGTGTTATGTTTTGATGTGAAGCATGATGTAACAAGAATAATCAGGAGATAGAGTATTATTGTGTTTGTTGAGGTATCAGTTACTTACATAATGCCCTTTTAATTGCATGAGTGACCAGTTCATACTTTTTTTGTTGTTGTTTTCATTGAACATGATTTTTACATTGTTTTGTTTTTAATTCTGACATTGTTATTTATTGTCTACCATAAAAATGACTGTGTTGTATTGTTTCTGTGTCATTAAGTTTGTGTTGTAAGTGTTGTGTTTATCTTTGTCGGCAGGTCAAGGTTATCAAACCAGGCACACAAGAGGAAACAGGTAGATACCCTAAGTTTATAATTAATCCCTTGTGTATCTGTAATAACTCGCCCTAGTCCAAAGGCAGGGCATATATAGGGAGCTTATTTCCTTACTTGAATACAGCATACCGAGTAATGTTCGCTGCGGTTAAACTTTCGCCTTTTTCACCCTCGGTAATGATGGCAAATTTATCATAAGAATACTGATTTTACAAGCATAGAGCGAAAGTTTGACTGAACAAAAGTAAACAGTATCTAAAAGTATATGCAGGACAGGTCCTCCAGTCTGTAGTTTAAGTTTATTAGGGCCCCGTATCGGAGATACGGGTGTCCTATAGTAATCACTCTGTCTGTCTGTCTGTCCGTCCACAAATTTTGTTCCTGGCTGATTTATTTATTGACCGATGTACATGAAACTTGGTCCAGATGTTCAGTTCACAAAAATACACATTGAGGTAAAAAGTCAAGGTAAAATGTCAAGGTCAAATTTTGCATCTTTTCACTAATCAACATTTTGTTATGACATGATGAAGCAAAGTTGATCAGAATTAAACAAGGAGTCAACCTGACCAAATGTCAGTCATTGGGTCAAAGGTCAAGGTTACATTTTGTATCTTTTCACTGGTGAACATTTTGGTATGACACTTTGAAGCAATATTGCTCAGAATTAAACAAGGAGTCAATTGACCAAAGGTCAAGGTCACTGTGTCAAAGGTCATGGTCAAATTTTGTATCTTTTCCCTGATGAACATTTTGTTATGACTTTATGAAGCAAAGTTGGTCGGAATTTAACAAAGAGTAAACTGACTTAAGGTCAAGGTCACTCGGTCAATGGTCAAGGTAAAATTTAGTATTTTTTTGCTGGTGAATATTACATTGTTGGCGGGCTTATCACTGAGCATGAGGTTATCACAGATAAGATGTAATACACAATTGTGTGAAGTTCTACAAGTTACTCAATACACAATTGTTTGAAGCTCTACAAGTTACTCAAACCACAATTGTGTGAAGTTCTACAAGTTATTCAATACACAATTGTTTGAAGCTCTACAAGTTACTCAATACACAATTGTTTGAAGCTCTCCAAGTTACTCAAACCACAATTGTGTGAAGTTCTACAAGTTATTCATTACACAATTGTTTGAAGCTCTCCAAGTTACTCAAACCACAATTGTGTGAAGTTCTCCAAGTTATTCAATACACAATTGTTTGAAGCTCTACAAGTTACTCAATACATAATTGTTTGAAGTTCTACATGTTACTCTAACAACCTTTTAGAAAATAACGACAATAAGGACTAAATCATAACAAAAGATTTGAAGGAAGAAAACGTCCTACTATGTTTGTGGTATTGTTTTGTATTGGTTTACTGTAACTATTTCTATAAAGATCAGGGAGGGACAAGTTACTTGGCCTCACTTTTATAGACATTTCCTGATTTAAGATTTAATTTTCTTCATATGAAAGCCTTAAACTGATGTTAGGAAAATGTTTTTAACACAAGATTTTTACCTTAATTCTATTAAAAAAAACTTCAGTCAAAGAATTTTCCCGAATGCATTTTCTTAATATTTTGTGCTTTTATGTGGATTGTGTGGGGCAAGTTGCCAGACCATGTGTACAATAACATACTTTAACAGTACATAGAAAGGACCTTTTGTTCTTCAATTGAGGAAGTACAGTACAACCAGGGTTTTACATTTAATGTGTTACACCTGGAAGATTGAGTTTGAGTATACACTGCTTCCTTTATTTAACAGTGGTATTGGTACCTTCACTTGTGAAATTTTTGTGAAATAAATGTGACTTTCATTTTGAATGTTGTACAGAGTAAAAACAAATGACGGATTAGAAGTGATATGTAATGAAATAAAGTGATATATCCGAAGTAATTAAGTAATACAGGTAGAGAAAATTAGGTAATTTCATTTATTCAGAAATGATCAAGTGTAACAGTTTTCTTTGACAATAATTTAATTTATACTAAGATTACCAAAAAAACTTATAAGACTCCTACCAGGAATTTCATAATTTAGTGACTTTGAAAATTGTTGCAGTAAAATTCCTGAAGTGTTTGTTAACAAAAAGTTTGGTTGGGATCATGAATAAGATAATGATATCATTATTCCATTCACAAACGCAAATATGTCACCAACCGTTAACTTCACTAATAAGTGTGCCTCCTGATCTTTTGTAATGTATAATGCTCTGTCATGTACATACAAGTGTGTCTGGACGTTTGTCTGACCACAGTTATGTCCCCTTTGTTGCCCTACCCCTGGTGGTGACCTTTCTGTGTCAGCTGATTATGTCCCCTTTGTTGCCCTACCCCTGGTGGTGACCTTTCTGTGTCAGCTGATGATTCACAGTATATCACATTTGTTATTATTGGCTTGTATTTCTCTTTTCATTTTAGACTGTTTTTCTGCAATAGTCATGTCATGGTTGGATAACTTTCTGTTAAACCAGGATTACAGCGTTTTCTTTTGCTGTTAGTTTGTTTCTTATACATGGGCCGTTTTACATCATTGTTATACAATGGTATATATATCAGATATATCTGTGGGTTTTTAAAATTTATTTTTATACTATCAATATTAAAACATTCATATAATGATTATTTTATCCATTAGGACTACCCAATTTTTATATAATCTAAAACTTGAGTTCATGATGGTATCTGATTTGTACATCCCGGACGTAATAAATTATATACATACCGGTACTTGCCAACTTTTTGAAATTTCAATGGGGGAAAATCTGAATGCTGAAAATTAAAACATTATAAAATGTGTGCAATACCCCCTGGAGACAAAATAACCCTTTAAATGACATATTTTGAGTTGTTGTTTTAGGTGAAATCATTATATATCTTAGAATATGGTAATATTGTAGCAAATTCACAGGTTGAAAATACTAAATTTAAGAGTAAAAAAATCAGGAGTGACCCTCCTAAATAGGGAGGGAGGGTTAACATTGGCAAGTATGTATATACCATCATGATGGTATGGTGTGTACACCCTTGACATAGTCAATACTACGATGATATCCTTGGTGTTTACACCCCTGACATAGTCAATACTACGATGATATCCTTGGTGTGTATACCTCTGACATAGTCAATACTACAATGATATCCTTGGTATGTACACCCCTGACATAGTCAATACTACGATGATATCCTTGGTGTGTACACCCCAGACATAGTCAATACTATGATGATATCCTTGGTTTGTACACCCCTGACATAGTCAATACTACGGTGATATCCTTGGTGTGTACACCCCTGACATGGTCAATACTATGATGATATCCTTGGTGTGTACACCCCTGACATGGTCAATACTACGATGATATCCTTGGTGTGTACACCCCTGTCATAGTCAATACTACGATGATATCCTTGGTGTGTACCCCCCTGACATGGTCAATACTACGATGATATCCTTGGTTTGTACCCCCCTGACATAGTCAATACTACGATGATATCCTTGGTGTTTACACCCCTGACATAGTCAATACTACGATGATATCCTTGGCGTGTACACCCCTGACATGGTCAATACTACGATGATATCATTGGTTTGTACACCCCTGACATAGTCAATACTACAATGATATCCTTGGTTTGTACACCCCTGACATAGTCAATACTATAATGATGTCCTTGGTGTGTACACCCCTGACATAGTCAATACTACGATGATACCTTGGTGTGTACACCCCTGACATAGTCAATACTACGATGATTTCCTTGGTGTGTACACCCCTGACATGGTCAATACTATGATGTGATCCTTGGTTTGTACACCCCTGAAATAGTCAATACTACGATGATATCCTTGGTTTGTACACCCCTGACATTGACTACGATGATATCCTTGGTTTGTACACCCCTGACATAGTCAATACTACGATGATATCCTTGGTGTGTACACCCCTGACATAGTCAATACTACGATGATATCCTTGGTGTGTATACCCCTGACATAGTCAATACTACGATGATATCCTTGGTATGTACACCTCTGACATGGTCAATACTACGATGATATCCTTGGTGTGTACACCCCTGACATGGTCAATACTACGATGATATCCTTGGTGTGTACACCCCTGACATGGTCAATACTACGATGATATCCTTGGTGTGTACACCCCTGACATGGTCAATACTACGATGATATCCTTGGTTTGTACACCACTGACATGGTCAATACTACAATGATATCCTTGGTGTGTACACCCCTGACATAGTCAATACTACGATGATACCTTGGTGTGTACACCCCTGACATGGTCAATACTCCGATGATATCCCTGGTTTAGTTGTGTAATCTTTGCTATCAGTGAGATTCGGTAATGGACAGATTTCAATTTAGTTAAGCATAATTGATGGTTTTGACTGGCAAACATTCAGTTGAATATGTTATATATCCATTATGGCAATCACTATATCAGTACATTGTAAGATATTCAATCATATCTGGTAAAGATAAAAAAATCACTTAGGTTAAGTGACTTGTCATACAATGAGTCAATTTAAATTTGTTACTAGATAGAATCCTTCCTACCTGAGTCATGATGTGGTTTGTATGTGGTTTGTACCATTATGACCTATGTAATAAAACATACATAAGATATTTTTTGTATAAGACTGGTAGGATTGTTAAACATCTAAATTATTCAGAAATAGAATAGATATCATTCTTCATATGTACAAGGTATCGGAGGAACTAGGTGTCTGCCTATATTGTCAGATGTTATTCACGTAGACTTTGAAATGGGGTAGAATTCCTCAAATCTACATGTAGGAGATGACGTCTCTATGACGGCGAGACCTTGTGCCATCTCCGCGAGGTTTTTGCGGTTTCAGAGCAGTCAATTAAGTCCTACCTGCCTGTTTATATCCAGACTTTATTGCATTTTAATGTTGTATGAGGCCCATCATGTACCCCTAGGTGCATATTTACCCAAAATAACCGACCTGTCAGGTGTCATAATTATACATTGGTGGTC